ACATCCCAAGCCATCCGCTTCTGGATGTGGGCACAGAGCCGTTGGTGGGCGAGCTGAGCGTGGAGCTGTGGCATGATGGCTCCTAGTCTCTGCCCACCATCCTGCATAGCCCCAAGTGCACAGAAAACTCCTCCTGTTCCTCCACCATCATCGTGCATCCTTGTGAGTGCCAGAGGGCTTTGCCAAAACTCTCCCACCGCTCAGGAAACATTTGGGACTTGGCAAAACACAGAACACGTTTTCTCAGACACTTCTTTTTTCCCCTCGTTTTCCATTTTGCACTGCCTGTTTATTTGGAATGAAATGGAGTCCATATGTTTCCAATCCCTTTGCTTAATTCTCTGCAGCATGATCTTCTCTCAGGTTGTTTCAAGTCCCAACGTTTTTGATCTTTTGCCCGAGAAGGAGGGCACCGCATTTGGCCACCAGAGGATATAAACCTGAAAGCTGAAGAACGTGTGCTGGGCATGGTGCTGTGAGAGGCGTGTGGACTCTGGGGGGTACAGACGGCTCTCCTGTCCCCTCAGTAAAGTTGTCCACCCAGGAGCGAGAGAGTGCAGACTGTCTCCCCGGATCATGCAGACTGAGACCCGGTGGTATTTTTTTCCCTGCTGGTTGAGGGGAGCCTTTGTAGGATTCTCCATTAGGACTTGGCCACAACTGGTAAAGGGCTCATAAGGGGGCTTCTGCCTCTCCCTGAACCCCTTATTTTCTGTTTCCCTGGTGGAACCTACTTACCTTCATGTGAAAGAAATGTCATCGGCACATGCTCAAGGAGGGGTGCAAGACTGCCCTACGTAACATTTCCTACTCTCAGTGGAGAGAGAGGGCTTTTCCCTAAAGAGTTTGTTTCAGTGCTTTCTCTGGGGGTGGCAAGAGAGGCATTGTGCTGAGACAGATGACCATGACGAAGACACCAAAGACTGTGGGATTTGCTGGAAAGCCAGACCCAAGGCCCAGGCTGACAGGCAGGCTGGAGAGCAGGTATCTGTGTACTTTCTTTGGGAGGAATCCCAGCACGTATGGAGTGGCCTCTGACACACCCAGGCTTGTGGCATGTGTCAGCCATAGGCATGGACAATGCAAGTTTCCACTGCATGTGGTTGGGGATGAGGGGGACGCTCTGTGCCATGCTAATGTGCCTGCATACCCAAAGACATGTCTGATGACCGGAAGTCTACCCTTGGAATTGTGTTCCTTTAGCCTAAACCCTTGATTCTTGTTGCAATACCAAGAACCTTTTAATAGGGCAGATTTTGGTGGGGTAAATCTGGGAAAAAGAATTTGAGGAATTTGGGGGATCCAGAGTGGGCTTTGCAGAAGCCTCACCGAGAGAGAGGTGGAGTTGAGGGAAGACCGCAGCAGAGAGAAAACACACACCGCTTCACCAGTCTGTGAAGGGTCTGCTGGCTCTGCAATTTAGGTTCCTTTTAAAACTGGAAGCATTACCTTATTTTTAAGAAAGCCTAAGGGCTTGGAGAAGTTATCTTACAATTTATGATGGAGATGCCAGTACCTCAGAACCCGAGGGGGTCTATGTGGGCTTCAGGACGTGGCAGGGTTTTGTGTGTCTGTTTGAATTACGTGTTCTGGAGAGACAGTCCACAGCTTTCACCAAGAATCATCAAGAGGTCCTGAGCAATTGGAGCAAGAAGACCTGGCAACGTAGCCTGTGCCTCAGAGGCTTTCAGAGTTCAGGGTCAGCCGAGCTTTTACCAGCTCTCTGGGGCCACAGGAACTGGGACAGCTCCACGAGAGGTGGGACCTGCCAGCCCACCCTAGATGGAGGGCGCTTCACCATCTTTCTGAATGTTATCCTACACGGATCTTCCTGTCTGTTTTAGGTTAAAAAAAAAAACAACTAGTATTTTTTTCTGATCATAAAATTAGAAACTTGGAAAATATGGAAAAATATAGTGAAGAAAATAAAATTCATAATCGTACTAATCAGCGTTAACCACTGTGAATATTTCGAGGTATTCCCTCTCAGGTTTTTTCTTTTGCATTTGTCTTTTGAAAGAGAGAGTTGAGATCATAGTACGTTTATGAATGGGGCCCTTTTCATTTAACATTGCATCATAATCATTTTGCTTGCCATGGAAAAGTCTTTATAGGCATCAGTTTTCTATGGCTGTACAGTATTCTATCATATGGCTGTGCTACAGTTTACATACCCATTCTTCTCTTGGGCATTTGCATTGTTCTCAGCTTTTTGCTTTAATAAATAATGCAGTGAGAACTATCTTTGGGCAAGAAGCTGTGCTTGCATTTTAAATTGTTTCTTTATGGTAAATTCCTAGAAGTCTCTTTTGACTTTTACAGATACTGTGTGTTAAGGTGTTGCTGAGACCCATCTGTAAAGTGTGGGTGTTGCAAAAGACTGTGGGCAGAGAAGTGGGGCCAGGTGACAACGTTTGTTGGGTTCCTGCTGCAAATGGGACACGACTAGGTGCTGCGGGCATAAGGGAGACTTAAGAAATTAGAAGACCCAGTCTTTATCCTAGAGGAGCTTACTGTATAATGTGGAACCACAACATACATAAATAGCCTAAAGAAAGAAAGGCCTGTATCTCAGAACCCCGGGGAAACCATGCATGAGTTTCAGGATGGAGTAGAGTTTTGTGTGTATATTCATATTGCATTTTCTGGAGGTTTCATCAGAATTTTTTCCTCTGTAGAGCTGCAAAGAATTACCTATTCAATGATTATTTGGCGTGTGTACAGAAGGGGTATGAATTATTTTTCACTATGTATTCTTTTCTTCTTTTATTGCTTTGTTTTATATTTTTTATAGTAGCAGAAAGTAAGAGAAACTTTTTTAAGTGCCATTAATATGATTGATAGAGTATAGTAAGGAGATGACTCAGAGGTCCTGGTTTGGGGGAACTTGAAGTAGGGTGTAGCAGAAGCCAGAGCCTATACCCAACAGGTGTGAGGCAGATTTTGGCAGTATATGTCACCTGTCCCTGCAGTGACCTACCAATCCGTTTACATATAAATCGGTTCCTGGCAGCATGAGCCAATGTTACATGAGCCTAATGCCTACAAGATCATATTATTGGAACATTGTGTTATGCAGGTGTGTGGCATTTTTGGCTATACAAACCAATGTTGCCTCATCTCTCTGCCAGAGCCTCAGTCCTCACCTGGTTACTAGGAATTGAAAGAGCTTCTTACTGCTCACTTGTGGTCATGAGGGGGCCAGCCCAGCTCTGCCAATATGGACACGTGTGCTACGGCAAGGAGGTGTGCTGCAGGCCTTTTGCTCAGGCCCAGAACTAGATGTGCAGGTGGAAACCAATAGCCATTGCTTGTATTTTTCTTCGATCTATGCTAACCATTTCTGTTGTTTGGCTAGCTCTTCCAGTGGGAAAATGAGAGAGCCACGTGCCCTGCTGCAGTCTCGTGCATGTGTCCTTGCACTGCATTTATAATTGTAGGATGTCCACAAAACCCCATCTTAGCTCAGTGTGTTGTAAGAGTTCCTGGATATTGTCAGTGGAGTGCCCATAGCCAGCACAAGTGGGATGGGAGGGGGGTCTCATCACTCCATTTCCCTTGGGGGTCTCTCCCCCATCTGTGGCTGGAGTGCCCAGGTCTCCATTAGAGGGTCTATGTGTGAGCATGACTAGACCACAGAGACCTGCCCCAGGCAGGCAAAGCCTTGACTTGGGAGCTCCCCAAGTCTTCCAACCTAGCATCTGTTTTATCTGGCTTGCTAACAAATCTGTGTGATGCTTTTTTTTTTTTTCTTTGCCTTCCAGTTGGCTGTTTCTCCAGTTCTAGCTGAGTTGTTTTTCTTCCTCCCTGACTCTTGGCTTCTATGGAATAAATCCCTGTCTCAGTCCCTGTCACTCTCCTTTCCTTTGATCCTTTGTTTTCTCCAGATCCAGAACCACTTAGTCTCCTAAAGGGCTCAGAGAGGCATCTTGGCCTCCCTGTAATTTATACACCCATGACAATCATTACACAAGACTAATTCTTCAGTGGCCTGAGCTCCACTGGACAAAAGCAACACACCCCACCCTGAGGCAGATGGGGGCAAGGGAGGAAATAGGCAGTGCCCACCCCTCAGATGTAGGCAATATCCGCTCTTTATGGGAAGAGAAAAACATTAAACACATAGGTGACCACTGCCAGCTCTTAATCAGAATGCAAAATAAACAAACAAGATACCACTCAAAGTATAATCCTGGAGGGCTTGAGGGTGTGAGGTGGGAAGAGTGACAGCCAAAAGCTTAGACCTTCAAAGGGTATCATTAAGAAATTCTTAATCAGACTTGCCTTGGCTAGGATTTTCGCTTAATATTCTGACTCTGTCCAGATACAGATACTATTTTCCTCTCTATATATGATATTTTTAATAATAATACACTTTTAATAAAAATGATACTTATAAAAGATACAAAACATTTTATATATGACAATTATAACAAAATATATTTTATATGTAAAAAGATATTGTATACTTTAATAGAACTATCTTATAGTTTATATTTAAATAATATAAAAGCAAAATCTATTTCTATATAAAATGTTATAGATTTATATAAATAGCAAATGAAGCATTTTATACTTTCTTGGCAAGTATTTTTAAATATTTCTAAAATATAGCTTATTTAACTATCTTAAATCTTACTGTTTAACTCAATGCCAGTGGTTCAATATTAAGCTAAGTAATTCAACTTAAATATTTCAAGTAATTTTGAAATACACAGAATATCTTCTTTTTATATAAACAAAAGGTGCTAGGAAATTAGGAGGTGCCCCAAAAGTCACCATACATAGGGAAAAATGGGAAATTGCAGATAAATATACCTTTAGTTGCAAAATACGCCTTACAAAGCTTTACAAAATTTTTCCTTTGTGTGGAGACTCTTGGGACAGGAAGTGAGGTAGAGATACCCGCGCAGGCGCGGTCCCGTTCCGGGCCACAGCGCCCCCTGCCGCTCGCACCCCGCGCGCCACCTCTGATCCCCTGTCCTTCCTCCCGCCCGCAGGTATCGGCAAGAACGTCATCTGCGACCGCACGGCCACGCCGCTGGACGCCTTCCGCATGATGTCGGCCGCCCACTACTACCCGAAGCTCATGAGCATCATGGGCAACGTGCTGCGCTTCCTGCCGGCCTTCGTGCGCATGAAGCAGCTGATCGAGGAGGGCTACGTGGGCGAGCCGCTGGTGTGCGAGGTGCAGGTGCACAGCGGCAGCCTGCTGGGCAAGAAGTACAACTGGAGCTGCGACGACCTGATGGGCGGCGGCGGCCTGCACTCGGTGGGCACCTACATCATCGACCTGCTCACCTTCCTCACCGGCCAGAAGGCCGTCAAGGTCCACGGGCTGCTCAAGACCTTCGTCAAGCAGACCGACCACATCAAGGGCATCCGCCAGATCACCAGCGACGACTTCTGCACCTTCCAGATGGTGCTGGAGGGCGGGGTGTGCTGCACCGTCACCCTCAACTTCAACGTGCCCGGCGAGTTCAAGCAGGACGTGACGGTGGTGGGCTCGGCCGGGCGCCTGCTGGCCGTGGGCACCGACCTGTACGGGCAGCGCAACAGCGCCCCGGAGCAGGAGCTGCTCGTGCAGGACGCTACGCCCGTGAGCAACTCGCTGCTGCCAGAGAAGGCCTTCAGCGACATCCCCTCGCCCTACCTGCGCGGCACCATCAAGATGATGCAGGCGGTGCGCCAGGCCTTCCAGGACCAGGACGACCGGCGCACGTGGGACGGGCGGCCCCTCACCATGGCCGCCACCTTCGACGACTGCCTGTACGCCCTGTGCGTGGTGGACACCATCAAGAGGTCCAGCCAGACGGGCGAGTGGCAGAACATTGCCATCATGACGGAGGAGCCCGAGCTGAGCCCCGCCTACCTGATCAGCGAGGCCATGCGCCGGAGCAGGATGTCCCTGTACTGTTAGCGTGGACTGGGGACCTAGGGGACTTAGGCCTTCTGCGGGGGGCCCGCAGAGGGTGAAAGACGTAGGGGAGAGGGTGGCCACGGGAGTGTGGGGGTGGGGGAGGTGGCGGAGCAGTGTTAATAAATGGCATCTGGGAAGGCAACCAGACTGTTGGTGGGCTGAGCTCATAGCCTGGGCGTGTTCAGGAGGGCCTGCCATTCCCCACGTCATCCCTGTGGGGTGTCTGCATAGGACGGAGGGGATTTAGCTGCCTCTGCTGCCCTTTACTGTGAGAAGCAAGGAGGGGTTGCTTCCCTCCCTACCTCAGCCACCCCACACGCCTCGGCCTGCTTTGCAAGCCAAGTGGTCCGTCAGGGTCAAGGCATGTTATCAGATGGCAAAGTCAGTGTGAGCCAGGCTGCCTGGACACACACTACTGGCAGAAGAAGGCACCTCTTCACAGGTCCACATAAGCCTGTTGGGCTGGGGAGGGCCTGGGAAGGGGCTGGGGTGGGCAGGTAAGAAAGTTCAAATTCCAGGAAGCCACTTTTTATTCTACTTAAAAGTGTCTGAAGGAAAAAGTGCTTAGTAATAAAGTGTACAGCTTTTGAGTGGTGGGTCTTACTCATAGGAAGCACTGAGGGTGTGCCTTCCTGCTTGGTTCGCCCCTCACCTGGTAGGGACAGGGTCAGGAATAGAGCAGAAAGCAGGGCTCCCGCCAGCCACGAGGAGAGAGCACGTGCTGCATTGAAACAGGTGAGACAGACAATAAAACATCCCTTTTAGCTTGTCAACAATTTAAAAACTGCAAGGAGTCACGTTACTATAACACTTCCCAGTGAGGGTGGAGTTGGGTGTAAGGATTCCTCACTGAAGTGTTGGGGTGGCCTGTCACACGGCTCTCTAGGCAGCACCAGAAAGCACAAAGTGTGAGTTTGACCATAAGCTCAAATGCTGCCCTCACAGACTGGGGACAGCTGTGCGCCTCAGTGTGGCAGCGTGAATTCCCAAACAGGAGGTGAAGTGAGCCTAGTCTAGTAGGTGTTTTGCGCCTCAGCACATATCTTTCCTACCAAGCTGGGGAAGGGCTTTTAGGAGATTGACCCAGCTTTGTAGATGTAAAAGGGAAGCCTTTAGTTCCACTCAGATAGAATCCTCTTTCCTTAAAAAAAAAAAAAAAAGGTCACCTTAGTGTTGACCTTTGCTTTCAGGATTCTGACACCTGAAAATTTTTGCATAGGTATTAAAAGGACATCATGGAACATAATTTTTTCAGTGTTTCTAAAATGGGGGTTTAGAGCCCAGTGAGGGGCTTGCTTAGGGTCGAGAAGGCTAATGTTGGAAAAAACATATCCTTCTACTTGGTCTTGGTCTCCTGTCTCTCTTGTCTTTTCACGCTCTGCTTACAGAGCTTCATTAGAGGCGGCAAAACTGCAGGCTTGGAGCAGGCAGTACCTAAAGAGCAGACTCTCACACACACACACACACACACACACACGCTTGGATTTGTGAATGCTTGCTATCATCAAATGTCTCTGAAATCATTCTTAAAAATTCAGATCTGGTCTTGAAAGAAAGACCAAGTCAAGTACATTTTGAAAATGAGGAATTGTCCTTTTGTTATCTTAATCTTTCACCCCACATAAGACATCTGTTGAGGCTGGAGGTGGAGACCATTCCTTGGTAAGTCTCCATAGCCTTTGTGCACAGGCTGGCTGACATCAAACAGGTGTCCTTGGCATGCAACTAGGGTTTAGACTTCTTTCCAGGTAACTGGCAGTAGAACTAGAACGGAACTTACGAGGACTGGAGTCCACCCCCCAGCCTCTGAGTAGGCAAAATCTGAGAACTAACAATCCAATCAGTCGCATCCCCCATGCTCCTCCCTAGGGTCAGTATGCTTCAAAGCCCAGGCTACTCGTAGGTGCAAGTTGTGGGTGTGTACAGACACCAGAGGAATGTTGGTCATTTCCTAGCACAGAGGAGTAAGTATTGCGTTTCCTGGAAAAATCACCCTACATCCTGGGGCCTTGTTACAACACAGTAGGGTTGGTTAACTGCAATTCTCCGTGGTTCATTATGGTCCCCGATCTGCTGACTGTTCCTGATCATTCCAGGGTTTGCAGCTGTCAGTTCAAAACTGGAGATTTGCTAGAACAGAAGTCTCCCAATGATACTTTAAGCAGAGTGCCATGTTGTGGACTGTTTTGGTTCCTGTTCTACTAAATTGCCCTCTGGGAAAGTATTAATAATTCTTGTGGAAACTGAGTGAAAGAATTTTTTTTTTCTACCTAGCCTGAAAGGCTGTGATTGAGAATGATGGGGAAGAAAACTAGACAACTCATTTGATCTCATTTTTCTAAGTCATTTACAGTCTCAACAGGGATATTCCTGGGGTTTCAATCTTATGTTTGTGTACTTAACGTTAATTCTTGGGAGATCTCCCCCCACCAAAGTTCTCTGAGCTCTGTGATAAATATTTAGTATCTGAAACATTCTCATTCAAGGCTGGGATATATAGAAAGAATATATATTCTTCAAAAGAAGCATGAAAAAATATTTTATTAAGTGTATTCAAATGTTATTAATGTCTACTGAAATGCATGTAGTAGATAGATGAAGGAATGAGAGAAATAAAAGACCTAGATAGATAGCTAATTTTTTTAACTATAAAAATTACAGCAAATGGGTTTGAGATACTTCTTCAGTGCTCTGTTTGCCCTATCCTGTCACATGCAAAGACTTGAGTGGGAGCAGCAACGTGATGCTGAAATCTCAAGCTTTCAACAACACTCTTCAAAAGGACCTTGTTTCAGCCCAGCACCCCCAATTGTGCCCTAGGGGTCTGGGTGCCATCAACTGACTTCGGTCTAGGACTAAGCCCCAGCAATAATCCAGCCCCTTTCTGCTTCATTTACTGTGTTTCCAGGGCCTGACGTAACAGAAGCGGCACTTTAGCGTCATCACACTCAGTCCCCCTTGGTGGTTTTGTTCCCATCCTTGTGTGGATGCCGCTAGTTGCCTCTGCAGATGGCCTAAATTCCAAATTCAGAGAGAGGGTGTAGATCAGGCTTCTTCCCTGGGATCCACAAGTGTTTGGGAATGCCATGGGCTTATTTGGAAAGTTTGGAATCCTTCCTCTTCTGGAAAGAATCTGTGACCACTGTCAGCCTCTCCAGCACTTCTCCCCTCAGTGGGAGAATGCACTGCAGGGTACCTCAGCTCCACCTTAGCCTACCTGGCAGCAAACACCACTGTGTCAGGTGTGTCTGGACTCTCAAGGGGCCGTCTTGGCCAACTCTACGACTTGTCCACTATGTGCAGAGTATTTTAAGCACATTATCTCATTCAATTCATAGAAACAACCCTATAGTATTGGGTATTGTTATTCCCTTTTTACACATGAGAAAATGGAGGCCCTAAGAGGAAAAGTAACTTGCCCAAAGTCACACAACTGTTAGGTAGAAGTGGCATCACTCAAATCCAAAACTTTTCTTCTCTTCCAAACCACGCTGCCTCCCAAGAAGAAAGATTCGTGCACCTGCTGTTCCTGCTGGGCAGAAGAGCTGCCTTATCAAATTCTGTAGGGGGCCTGCTGTCACCCCTGGGAAACAACTGTGACAAGAGTTGACGTGACCTGCAGCTCCACTCAGCTGCTCTCAACACCCTCCTGTTGAGCAGGATGCAACATCTGATGTTCTGCCAGGAGGTTAGTTACAAGCTCCAAATAGAAGTAGTCCATTTTTCTTCCCCTTCCAAAATGGAAACATCACTCAGCTTCTTTTAAAATTGACTTCCTAAGTTGATTTTGATTGTAGGTGATGCAGCAAACCTCAGAGCTGGGAATTTTCAAAGCATTGCTGGCCGACTATTATAGATGGCCTTGGATTTTCCTCTCTGGGGTCTGAGAATAATAGGAAAATGTCTTTTCTCAGGGAGTAGGGCTTTTAAAGTTCATTTGTTTGTGACTCACATTTTAGCAGTGCATTTGTACCTTGACACTCTCTTACACTCTTCATCTTCTCTCATAGCCACAGCTATTGAATTTGACCTGTGATCATAAATTGGGTTTCTGCTCTGATCTCTCGTACTTCGGTGGGTATGGGGGAAATCAGCTTTACTGATGACTTTCTGGGGAGAAGTAAATCCAGTTGCATCTGAAGGGGCTTCAGCGTCCACTATATCCAGCCCCTTTATTTTACATAACACAGAGTGATGGCCAAGGTCATGTGCATATCTAGTGGTAGAGCCAGGATGAGAAGCCCAGTTTTCTGCCTCTTAAGCCTCATCCTGTGTCACACAGAGTGCTGAGATAGGGAAAGACAGCTCGGAGAGTTGAAATGACTTGTGTGAGGTCCCATGACTAGTTGGTGGAGCAGCTGGAGTTAGAACTCACACCTGCGCTGGACCGGATTCCCTGAGCAGTTGCAGGTAAATCCGTTTTTCAATAAACTCAATCGTGTCTTGAATGTACTCAGAAAACTAGCTGTTTAAAATTCCCCATTGTGGCTCTAATGTGAACAGTTATCTCTAATTTGTATTTTATTTGGCAAGGATGGGGGGCATACATTCAGATTTCCCACCTTCGGGGTTTCCCGAGACCTGCTCTACTTACATTGTCCCGCACACCAGATACGAATCTAGCCCTGACTAGCCTAGGATTCCTGCTCCACCGCTGCCTGCTTTCTTTGGCCAACAAAGCCTTGGAGTTTACAGGGCAGAGGCCATGACATCGAGGAGCTTGCTTAAAAAAATCAGCTATCAGAACCCCACAATTTCAATTCCCTTTTCGGGAGAGGGTGGAGGGCCTTGAAAGAAAAGTGGTGTGCGTCTGCAGTGTGAGTTCGTGCCGCTCGCCTCCGACATTTGCCGCGCCCTAGGCAGAGGAACCGGCAGGTGGAGGGTGCTCTGAGTTTCAGGGGACAGCCCAGGCTGATGCGGACGTCTCACGAGAGGAGTCAAGACTGCCTGTGCTGCTTTAAAAGGTGATGGCTTAGGTGGTCCCGTTGGAGTCTGGAGGTGAATCTGGCACCGCATCTGAGTGACCACGTCAGTTAGAGGAGGAAGGCGGTGGCCCCCTGGCCTTCCTTTCCCCCATCTCACAGT